CTTACAAACAAGCAAGCATCTAGGGATTTCTAATGAAAATGCCTTCACAACCTGAACTCAAAGGACATAGAGCATCATTATTAAATTACAAATGTTCCTGTGCAGGAGTTTGAGATTATATTTTCCATTTAGCAGTGAGCCAGATTTTTGTGGGCGGGCAAAGAAAGAGGAAGAGGTGGAAGTAAAATCATATTTTCTGCAAGTTCTTTCAACCATTTCATTCCTACAAACAGATCCAGTAAGTAGGGGCTAGGTGAAATGCACCTGGTGAAAAGAAAATTCAATGCAAAATGGAATGACAGGGGTTAAATTTGGGGCTAACTCAGTCACTAGTTTGAGAGGAAAAGATGGAATTTGTTTATACTTTTCCTTTAAAAATGACATTTTTTGTTTGACAATTGACCAATTTTTTATACAGGTTAAATAACTCAAAAACATTTCTTTTGTGGTCAGCCTCCCCCTGCTCCCCACCCTGCTTTGGCTATAAGAGTTGAAGGAGCTCACACTGCTGAATCTGACCTATGGCCATGGAATCATTGTGAGTAAAAATTTCAAGACACCCAAGTAATTTAGGAGCCTAGATTCCATTTTCAAAATTCCTTGGATACTAAGGAAACTTCGCATCACTGGAAATCAGTGAAATTAGGTTCCAAAATCATTAGGTGCTTCTGAAAATGTAACCATTTGTCAATAAAGAAGGAACAGGTTACCCAGGCACATGCACGTTTATTGGGAAAGAGCCTGTTTCAGATGAGCAACTATAAATGCCACACAATGGATATTTTGCATTGGATACCAAAATGTGTGGACAGTTTGCTAATCTCCTGGGTCTGTGCAAGGATAACTAAGTTGTCTGGTCAAACAATCACATTTCCAAAAGGGCTTAAATGACCTTCTCCCACACAACTTTTGGTGCATGCAGAGATGCAACTTTAGAAGCAGCTGTGGAAAAATGTCTCTCTGGCATCCTGAGAGTCTAGGTGGAAAACAGCAGCCTTTGTTAAATGTTCCCAATCTTCAGGTTTATTTTACCCTTCAGCACGGGAAAGCATTTTCAGTGGCCAAATAGATTAGCAGTACCAATTACTACACTCTCCTCCTCTGAATGCTTCTTTGAACAGGATGCAAATATTTTTCTTTTTGCGCTTGTGGTCCTCTCCTGTTTGTGTCTGGCTGACCACAGCTCCTTGCCTTCCTCTCCAGGACACTTGCCACTAGTCTAATTTTTGGGAAGGAGAGATATTTTTCAGGAGGTTGGATACATTCCTTGCCTGCCTCCTGCATCTCCTTTACCAATTGTTTAGTCTCACACTGGGGTTAAAGCTCTGTGATGTTTTATTGGGATTCAGGGCCTGGACCTGTCAGATATGATCAAATAAATCCCCAGGAAAAGAAAGATCATGCACCATAAGTATTTCATTTCAATGTTGGACTTAAGCTCACAGCCAAACAGATCTTGCTTTTCTTTCCCTGAACGGCCCCAGAAAACATAACAGTTATAACAGGAGTTCAGAGGACTTTAAAGTGTTACAGTTTCAGCCCTGTCTAGGTTTTACATGATACTCAGCACACAGAGTTTGAACCTCTTCCATTTAGTCCTACGGTGGACGGTCAAGCCCGAAGAGTTCATCACATTAACTCTCTAGAATGTTATCGTTCTAAGACAGCAGCAGAGACTTCCTCAGAGTTTCTATTAAGTCAAAAAATAAGCTTTCCTACCTTCCGTTCTGGGGATGAATCCACTCTCTCCACCTCCGATTTCCTACTGCATAGTCTCAAGAGATCAGCTGATGTAAAGCACTTTGATTCAGCTAAGCTTCAGAGCACAAGGGTTTAGTCCCACCTTAGTGGCATGGTATCAGCTGGATGGTGAGAATGGATGCCAGAGGGACTTACTCCACCAGGGAGTACATGTCCAGCCAACAAAACACTGGCAGCAACCTCTTTGACTGTTTCAGTTCCCAAGACTTCAAAGCAGATCAAATATTAGTAATGAGGCCCTCACCTACCTGGCCAGATAACCTGTGCATAGATGTCAAGAATTCAAAGGTAAGTGGAGCAGGACATGAATTTTCCCTGTGAAATAAGGTTTAGTGTTAAGATGCAAGATTCCATTAAACAATGTATACTGAGAGGGAAGAATTAACTCACTTCCAATAAAAAAAACTCCTATAACATTTACCTGTTTACCAAAATAAATCAGTGATGTTACGCAGCTTTATCTCTAAACCTGAGTTTATAGATATGCTGATATACACATTGTAGAGATATCAATATGCTATAAATACATTCATGGAAATGTATAAAGCATAAACATGACATCAATATTATAACTTATTATTTCTTTCTGAAATGGCGGCATCCACCCTCTAAGTTTAACATCCCTTTCCTCATTTGGTCTCAGTCAAACAAGATGCTGAGGTAAGGAGTAGTCCTGTCCAAATAATGGAAGTGTTTGAAGGCCCATGCCCTGGCCTACGCTTTCATTCTGAACTGCTCTTTCTTCCCAGCCAGTTTCCCTCACCCTTCTTGGAAGCTGAAATTGTCACTGTTGCCCTGAAGGTAGGAAGATAATTTATTATTCAAAGAGGCTCAGAAACAGGCCATGTTACTTGCTAATTGTTGCTATTCAACCCGGGCATCTTCTGGGCCAACAGGACAGGAATTTAGAGACCACATGGATGGATATAATATAAACAGACAAACAGCTGCAGCACAAAGAAGATAGAAATTGTTTGCAGTGGTCATTGATAGCAACAGGTTTGCAGATGCAGCAGATTGCATTTCCCCCAGGAAAGCTCTTACTGCTCCTACTCAGCGCACTCACGCTGCTCTATAATCCTGAGCAAAATGCAGATTACCAGGCACTTCATTCTGCATCACGTGCATGGTTCATCATGCAGAAGTCATCTTCACATCCCTAGAAAGCCTCTTCACTATACCCATCAATGATTCATTTGGCAGGTTACTATAAAAATGAAAAGCATATCTGCTGAATGCATCTAGCCATGCAGCTATTCTAAATGGAGAATCACATTCATTGTAAAGACATTTCTTCAACAGTCAAAAGCTTTAATTTGTAATCTTTAAAGAAATGCTCTTTCTGGGTTCTTTTATAAACTTTTCATGGGAATCTGGTGCTGGTAAACATGCTGTATTGACAGCAAGGGAGACCTACACACTCTCTCTCCATGGATCAGGTACAGCATGGATAGCAGCAGTACAAGCTTCCCTACAACTAAACTGCCAATAATTTTAAATTAGAGGCATATCCTCTAGGGATGAGAAAATCTTCCAGATGATGACATAAACCATTCAATTCTTGGCTTCTCAGCCAGAACTGCTAACAAAGCTATCAGCTAATCCTAGCTGTGATGCTGGTGTTCATTCTACAAACAGAAACCTTGTTGAGGAAAGAGTCATTTTATAAACAAAGAAAAAGACATAAAATGCGATTCCAGATTTTTTTTCTTTTATGGCAAAGTTATCATAATAACCTAGAGTTAGCTTTCCACACACTTTGCTGTACAGCGAAATAGGAAAGAGAATTATTGACGTTTCAAACCATAAGAACCGTGTCTGTCTTTTGTCTTCCTGCATGTCTAAGCAAGTCTAAGATAATTTAACAGTAAGCAAGTTAGTTCTCTAAAGCTAACAATAATAAATAGAAACATAATTATTATTTTATTTGTTTTTGCTGGAGGTTTACTTGAATCAACAGCTGGTGCAGGAGTCTTTGGGTGACAATGATGTCAAAAGGAGTTTTGACACTGATGTCACAATTGCACCTGTTATTTTACCATTTCTCCCCAACTCCAAAACTGCTATCCATCTCTTACTGTACCTCCACTCTTGCTGTGAGGCCAATCACTGTGATCAGTGAGGGCACTGAATATAGAACAGTTAATAAAATGTCTTATTAGATCTTGCAGGATTTAAAAGGAAAAAATTATAGACACTGTTATCAATCATTGGCATTTAAATCAAATCTAAATATATTTCTTACTCTAGTCTAACTTTTTATTAGTATGAGCATTTTGGAGAATTCTTTAGCTTCTGAAAATAATGCTGCACTGGTTAGAAATCAATATTTAGCTGTATTAGTTTAAATTATCACCCCATAATTGCTGTCACCAGTAACACAGTGTATTAACCAAAATTTCAGCATACCCCTAATGGGATAATTCAATTCCTAATTTGTGGTGAATGGAGTCATCAGCTGTTTTCCAATCTGCATTCAAAGCTGTTATTTCTTAAGAAATGCAATGAAAAGCAATTTATAAGAAAAAGAAACCACAGAGAACCAGCCTCTTTTTGCTGAGCATCGACCAGATCTTCTCCCTTCCTCTGCCACGCTACTAATGATATTAAAGAGAAAGAATTTCATGTGACCTAGACTTATTGCATTTGGTGCCCTGGTAGCCCCAAATGCAGGATTTGATACTACAATAGCAATGCAACTTAACATGGCTCACATTCCTGAAAGACTTTAATTGAATTTACACACCAGCAGAGCAGACATCATTTCACCCATCACTAGTCAGAATTCCACAATGCACGGTATATACTGAGAATTACTCAATGCATGATATATACTGAGCCTAATGAGTGGGAAAGTGTATTATTATAGGATTATTGTGAGCTTATCCATTGACATGAGTTGATTTTATTAACTTCAGTTCATCATAGATGCTTTGGCAGATGGAGATTTTTATAAGGCTGGTACACATTTCTATAGAAGTTACTGAATTGCTGAGTGTGAATTGAAGGCAGAATTGGAGCAGACGGTTCCCTACCTCTGAGAGAATTCACCTCTTTGCCTGGATACTGATCAAATTTCTTTGCCAAGTTTCATTCCTGTTTTATATGCATCTGAAGAGCCAGTTCTCACCTTTTAAATGCTCTAGATCATATCAAATGACGGGTATGCTTGAAAATACTTCTGTTTTTCCCAGGAAGGGGAGTACTGCTTGAAAAACAAAGTTTTCTCCACACTTTTGTAAGATAAGAATATATTTATTAGTTATAAAAAATACAAGTGAAATAACATTGGCTTAATACAATCTCATAAAAATAACACTGGAGTGATGCCGAGAGCTGTAGAATTTGTCAGGCTCATGTTAAGCCAACTGCGTAGCAGGATTTAATTGCCAAATTTTCCATCCTCTATGGAGTTGTGTTGTAAGTGGCTCTGCTACATGGGGCGTCCTAAAAATCTTCAGCTTTAGCTGGACATCCATATTCATTCAACTTCAAGGGAACGTAATGTTGTAGAGAAACGGCTTTCTGATCAGCAGCTCGATTAAGGATTTTAATCCAGGAGGGTTTGACCTGTCCCTTATATCCAAGCATAGCAAAACTCCCTGAAAAGGGGAGACAAAATGAATGACCCTATGCATTACTTAGTTAAAGGAATAGCCATTTATCATTATGACATTTAAACCCACTTCTTGTATCAGATAAACTTTTTAGCCACTCATTTTCTGGGAGGGAAGGAAGGAAGGAAAAAACAAGGCCTGAACTAAAATGCAGTAAACTAAAGCAGTAAGCTGACTACCCTGCATTATTTAAGGTATTTCAGTGAAATGGGAGCTGGTCTGAGTTAGTGGGAGCATTGTGTTCTTTATTTTTAAGTGCTGGTAATTTTTAATATTTGACTACATGAAAATGGTTAGGTATTTAGAATCCTTCTTTAAATAGTTTAAATCATTTTTTCTCTATGATGACTAAGCAATTATTGATTCTCCCATGGTACTGGGCTGTCTTATAGTCCAATGGTATTGTGTATACTTTCATTTATATTATTTTTTTGCATCACAAAAGATTCCAAGGCTGTTTACGAACCAGGAGCTCAGTCCTATAAACCTTATGCAGTGGGACTATACACGGAAATCCTTGTCACATGAATAAGTACTGTAGATCCATTTAATAAAACCCCGGTTCTGTTCCCATTAGAAGTTAATTGGAGGTTTGGAAATGCCCTCCATAGAAACTGAAGCAAGCCATCTAGGTTTAGAAGAAATGTTTCAACCTTCACTGCAATACAGCCACCTCTAGAGTGGCTTGTGGCAGCTGGTTTCACAGTAAGAACGATGCTACACAACACCTTAAGAGGTTGGAAAGTCAAATACCTTGCACAACTTAGTCAACAGGGGGAATTTTAAGGAGTTGGAACATAACTACACAGACTGGAATTTGGCACAGACATCTAGGTTAACACCCTTGCTCTTGTAAGAAGTGTGATGGGAATGACAGGCAGTTTCTTATTTCATCCGAGACAGCAGCACCATGTCCCTTCACGTCACACTAAGATATTAGTTCATTACTAACTTGGCTCAGGAAGAAGAGTACCACCTAACATATCAGCAGCACTTTTTTACCACAGATTTCCATTAGATCAGAGAGATTCTGCATGGATCTTTTCCGCTCTCTATCAGATCACTGAACAATAAAGAGAGGTCACAGCGGAGGGCAGAATCTAGCTCAGTGTCTGCAAGTGCAGCATGGCACTAAGTAGGTTATGTCATTAACTACCCTTGAAAACTTCTGACAGAAAGAAACTTCTTTGTTGGAAATTTTTTCCCAAAGTTTTCAGGATTTTATCGTGTGTGTGTGTGTATTTCTTGTGCAAAATTACAATGGTAAAATTACGAGTTTAGAACCAAAATAAGCACAAAAGCAAAACCAATGCCCTTGCTGTAAAAGCATATAATCTCTCTGTTTTGGAAGAATAAAATGAATGAGTTTTAACATAGCCACTTAAACCAGAAGACAGAATCAGTCTAAATAAAACAATATTTTGGACAAGTTAATTTGCTGCTGTAAAAAGCAGCCAAGAAGAGAGAGAGGGAGAGACTGAAAATACAAGCCAACTCCGCTTCTGACCTGTGCTTGAGAGGTAGCAATTTTAGTAAATGGAACGGCAGGCTTACTGCCCGATTTTCTTATCAGCCCAAGAAATAAGTCCATGAAAGTGGGACTTGAATAACTTTCTATTTTCCAGTAGGATTGCTACATGGAAGAACAGCACAGTAAGTGCATCAAGCAGTCACATCCACGCTAAGCCTTTGACAAGAGTTTCAGCTAAATAAACAAAAGAGAGGAAATTCAGATTTAAGGCTGCTCAGTCAATTAAGTGCATGTTGCTCTGAGGCATTACAGCACACTGCAAGATTGCTAAGGCCTTTGATGTCTGTAGTGTCTCATCACAACGCGGGCAGGTACTCACTCCCTAATTCTGCCCTCAGGTGGGTGTATACACATGCCATGGAAAGGGAATTGCATGCATTTAGCTCAGAAAAGAACTTAGTCAGGGAGGGGGAAGGACAGACATAAACCTGAATGTCCCTTGCTTGGGGCCCTTTTGCCCATGCGGCTCCCAATCAAGCCAAGGGGAGTTTGACTGTAGAGGCAGCAGGATCAGATCCCAGATTACCTTAGGAGGACTCGATATTGAGGGGAATGGGAAACTTGTCTGACTGAAGAGGGACTGATGGCATCAGAACAGGGCCATAGTTTCTTGTCAGTCAATGAAGACATTGACAAAACAATGATATAAAACTGAAATTGCCAAATCCAAAACCAGTAGAAGTCTACAGAAAGAAAGTCAGTGAGCACTGGATCAGAGTGCCAAATACAATGAGAATAAGAAATGATGGAGCAGCAGCCATAAGACAAATGCTTTGTAAAAACATCAAACCAAAGCACAACACTTCCTTTGCAAAAGAAATCCATTCACTGACTGGGAACTGAACAGATTGTTTGCTCTACCTTAATCATGGAGATGAGATCCACAACTTAAGTATAAGGTAATGCTTGCAACCTCTATTCTAGCAAGTGATGGACGAATGTCCAAACAAACAATGATCTGGTAGGTCCAGACAGCAGTCAAGTTTATGCAAGGTTCTCTGGAGTTCTTTGATCTGGCAGTAAGGCTGGAAAAGTTTTGAGATCAAGGTTTCTATTTGTCCCAGCTGGGTTGTAAAGACAGTGAGAAAAGTCTTTTTAAAAGACATTTTGGAATGTCTGCTTCTAGCCTTAGGAAGTGCAGAGGTGCAAGAAAACACTAAAAAAAAAAATCAAAACAGTGAGCTCAATTGTTTGGGAATGAAAATACAGTTTTGAGCAGACAACCAGCTTTGTCTATTTAACTGAGTGATAAGGGCAATTCATTATCACTAGCAGAGGCTCACTATAAAATTGATAATTATTGCAGATGATCTTATGGGAAATAAGGTAAAAATGCAATTAGACCTCTTCAAACCTGGTGGTTAATCCCTTCTCCAATGTCTAATTTTATTCAAATATCTTTTTTTATTTCACTTCAAGCTATTTTCCTCATTATTAAATTTAACTGTATGGCTATTTTTCCTCTGCAACTGTTTGAATTTGAAAGATGGAGCCTTCTCTTTGACTAGTAAATTGTTCATTTGCAACGAAAAACAGACTCTTAACTGAAAGATTCAGCCTCTTCTGTCTTTTTTTTCCCCTGCTGAGTTCCATTTTTGATTGTTAACAAAATGCTAACACTTCTCAAATTTCTGTTCAGCTCCCAGCTAAGAATTTTTCAATAATTTTCACTGTTGACACACAGGGGAAGTATTTGCATCTTCTCTATACACAAACACACCTGCAAGTTCAGGCAAAAGGGGCACTGCAGTATAATTCAAAAATATAGTCACCTTTTTTGTGAAAGACAATAGGCTTTGCGGAACCTAACCTTGTAAAAACAGACATTTCAGAGCATCCAGTCATTTCTGTCATATCTCTAGAGCACACAAGAACGACTGATCTGGAAAGAAGGACAGTGATTACTGCATACCAGAAAAAGACTATTTTTGCCAAGAGTCTCCAACCCCCTATTCAAGAAAGTTCTTAATCCATGCTTATCTTTCAGCATGATTTCAATAACATGCATGCATACATGCATGTGCATAAATACTTTCCTGAACTGGGGGATTATTTTATCAGTGTTTCTTTCAGTTTACTGAATCAAACAAAGCCAATGCTGTTGAAAGAAAATTTATCCCATGTCAGAGGATTTTGACCTATAGGAAAAATATTTCTGGAATAAGATAGTCCCACATTCACTTTCATACCATCTACATTCTGATCCTGATTTTCATTCAAACCTCAGTTTGGTTGTGCATCCCTCTAGATTCACTGTGTGCCACAATGAGTTGCACCTGCACTGTATTATAGGCACAACCGGTAGAATTTAGATTAAATGACTAACTTCGCGGCTGCAAAACAGGAAGCCATGGAAGAAAATCAAACTGAATATATCTGCGTCTATATAGTTGTGTGGGAATGTAGTTTATATAGTCACATATAACCATATGTGTGTATGTGTATACACACATGTGATAGTTCAGGAGCGTTCAAGTCTGGTCATGAACTGCTCAGAAATGTCTTGGAACTAAAGTCTGTTTTCTGGTTATTTGACCTGCTTCTGCCGGCAGCCAAGAATTTGTCTATAAATCTCTGTTGTTCTGTGTTTATGTGGTGACACATAAAACCATGAGGAATGTGGGCCAGACACAGACAGAGATGATCCAGCCCATCACCAAAGCTCTTCTGAGGCGACAGGGCCAGCAGGCAGGCAGATCTATTTGCTGGAGCCGAAGAAAAATCCGATTGGAAAATCTGGCACATTTCTGATTTTAATCTTTCAAAAAAGCAAAAACAACCAGCAAGAATAAACAGAAACGGGCTCTTTTCAGAACTGGAAATCTGAGTCATCAGCTGCCAGGAAACTGCTGCTGGTTCAGGCTTGGACACTGGATAAGTTAATAGAATTACAAATGTCACCACAAAGGGTTCATCTACCTCATGCTGGAAAATGAATTGTTAACTTAGAGCAACTTTGCAGTTTTCCAGAAAGCCTACCTCAGTCTGCACATTCCTCAGAGAGAAAAATAGTGTTTCTTTCAGAATCTGGTGAATATTTGGGTTTTTATCATTCAAACTTCCTCAGCTTTCCCCAGACACAAGTTCAGCTGTAAAAGTAGGTCATTTTCCTCCCCTTGTCTCTCACCTACACGTTACTACATGTACTTGGCTTTCAACACCTTGCTTACCTTTCTTTTACGGATGTTTGAACATAATCAGTCATTGCACTGGCAGCATCTATGGCACCAACTGTGTCAAAATGCCGCCTACTCACAACTGCTCCTGAACATGCATCCAGCACCACGAAGAATATCCCACGGCTACTGAACAAGAAAAATGTATCATTTACCTGCAACAAAAATACAGGTTAGGATTAGCTGAAGTCAGTAGACGAATCAGAAGCCTTTGAATGGAGTTTGTGAGAGAGGAATTATAAGCAGGTGAGAAAAGAGATAACACTCTATCATCATTTAAGCCATCAGGAATATGCATGAAGTAACATTTCCAAAAGGTGGTTTAATCACTAAAGATTGGAAAACCCTGTTATTCTTCTCCAAGTCTGGCGAGTCGAGTGCTGCGAAGAACGGAAGAGAACAAGGGTCTTTGCCTCAAAGGACATATTTCTACACAGCTCAGTAGTGCTTTTCAGCCAGTTTTAATCAGCCATCTGGCTTACCCAGTGTAATTTATGTTGTTTAGATGTTGTGGCTTGTGGCTTTTCTTCAGAGGTGGCCAAAGATACATGGGGGGGTTGTAGAAACATTTGATTGTAAATGGAAATGCAACGATTTAAAAATTTGGTCACAACACAAGAATTTGGCAATCTTGTCACCCTGCCTCAGGGATCTCTAGTTCAGTTAACAAACTTGTGCTATTATCTCCCATGGGGTAGGCTCCCTGGTAGCCTACGGCTCCCTGGTAGCCTACATCTCCCATGATGCACCAGGGTTCACACACTTGAAGAGTACAAGTAGTGCATCACAGGAGTCCTGGGCAATAACTCTTGTCACAAGGAATATAGTTCATGTAGGAAGCCCAGCACAGAGGGGCAGAGGATTGCTGAACCACTGCTCCGGGAAAGGATTGTGGCAGCCTTTCCAAACAGAACTGATGTGCATTTCTGCACAGCAGAAATCATCATTCAGTATTATTCCATATGGCACATCTATTTCTGAATTGGTTCAAAGTCCTTCCGGTCCTGGTCATAAAACAGTTTGAATCACATGGTTCTGAGTCATTTGAGGACTAGAAGCAGAGTGAATAAGATGGAAACCCATCAGGAAGGTTGTTAGTGCTGCTTCTCCCTCTATAAGATGTTCAAAGTTAGGAGCAAAGGGAGATTGCAGGGTTGCAGGGTTGGAAGAAGGAGAGAGCCTAGCACCTACAGGTATTTGGGATTACAGAGAGGAAAACAAAGAGCCACAGGCAAGAGTTGGCTAGTGAAGGATCACAGAAAGAAAAGAAGCCACGGTGAATACAGTGCAGTCCTGGGGTTGGAGAAAGTGGCTGTTGGCTAGGATGCCACCTCAGGCTTTTGGCACAAAGCACGGTGGATTATGTCATCTTCTTAAGAACAGGAGAGGGGCACTTTGTCAGATTTATGACCAACTTGGAAACACAAATTTTAAACTGAGGACAAAGCTTGTTAGGCCCAAGTTTCTTTTGGCAACACTTAAGCTCTGGACGGGTGCCAGGCTTGTTCTTCTCTTTCTCCCCCCTTTCAATTCCCTAGGCCTTTTCCGAATTAGGGCAAGAATTCCTTTTCAAACAAGAATCCTTACTGTTTGCCTGGCCCTGCCTTCCATTTAGCTAGGAATACATGTTTCTACAATTAAACTTTTTTGAAAAACAATGGTTTCAATTAAAGCTTTGGAAAACTAAAAAGTTTAATGAATCACCACTCATTTTCCCCAGTCTCTTTCAGCATGTGAATTAACTGCATATAGTACATCACTGCATTTTGCAGTTCACTGGAAGCCATGGCACTTCCTTGTGATACTCATCCTTTTGTTCTCCTGTCAGTTTGGACAGAGGAACCAATGTAGCTGATGAGAAATCCCAGCATTTCTGTGTCCATAAGGAGACTGACCTAACTTGAGCTGTTAAAAGCACAAGTATATAAGTAAATTCTGGACAAGTGCCTTTGCATCCATGGTAACACCCTTTCCCCGTGAGGAAAACATGCAAAAATGTGCAAATCTGCCCCCAGAGCTTTCAGTCTTCTTAGGTATTACTGAGAGTATTGTGGTTTTAATCAGCTACCAATAGGAGAACTAGAAAAACAAACATTTCTTTTGACTAGGTGCTACATCAATTTTTTTGTTTTTCCTTTCTTAGAAATTAAATGGTGGATTTATTTTCCCCTTTAGCTTGGAAAATGGCTTTTTTCTTTGTTAGGGTCCAAATCTTGGCCTTATTATCTACAAATTCCCTATCACTCTAGTTTAGTGTTTAATGGAACTAATTATAAATAAGACCAATGAATTCAAACATTCAACATTTAACTCTAGGTTCCCCTTTCCACTGTTTTTCATGGTTTTTAAGACTCAAGAAGATTTTGCAATAACTGTTGTTAGAAATAAATTTCCCTTGTTTAATCTCTTATTCAAATTTGGCATAATACATACCTTAATGAAAGCTGATTTTAAGTGGTTCTGCGTGTCAGCTCTGCTGAGAGATTGGATCTGGATTCTTACATATTTGATTGAAGGTCTACTAGTGATAGCAACCTGCAGTTATTTGAAGGGAGAAGACTTGAAATATGGCTTGCCAAATGTTTTTAATTTCAACCAACCTGCATCCATGCCCATTTACGCAGTTACAGAGCCCCAAACTGGAGATACTCCTGTTGTGCATATGTTTTTTTCACTTTATGAAACTCACAAACAAATGTTCATTATTAAGAAAACATTTAGCTCAATGGGAATATACTAGGATAGCAATTGCTATTGGTGGCATTAACATAACAGTTGTTTAAAATGAATTTATGCTGTCTACAGTAGATACCTTTGAACACAGTGTTGTCAGTGTATCTTGGTAACATTTGCCTATAAATTCCAGTTGTGTTTTTTTTCTTTACCTGATCCTCACAGTCTCCTTTACAGAAACTTGGGACATAAACAGGTGTTTAGACAACGGTATCACTTGCTGCTGAAAAAACACTCAAGGTCCTGAAATGGTGTCTTTTCCTAACATGGTAAGAGAGGGTAGACTTTCATACCAGTCTGTATTAGCTCCCTTTATTTTTTGGTTTGTTCTATTTCTTCTATTTCCACAAGCACATGCTTGACTTTTACTGACAAAGGACCTTCTTCCATTGGCTTCATTCACATTGATTGGCTTTAATCCTATTGATTTCTATAGAAGTGACTATGCAGTAAGATCTCTACTCTGCAAATTAAGCATCAAATTGAATTTTACTCCTATCCACAAAGCTGAAGAACTGGATGAAAAAAGGACAGAATTTCCACAACAAATGTGAAAAAGATTCCTAAGCAGATCTACAATTGGTCAAAAATGAGACAAAAATCCACATTTTTAAAAAAAAATACTTTTTTTGATCAAAATTCTAAATTGTCATGAAAATTTTCATCCAGATTGCAAACTTTACCCACAGTCAAAGATAACCACATACAACATTGGCAGGATCTGGACTTAAAGGATTGCTCACCCAGGATATAAGGTATAAGATTGCATCACAGGAAACAGAAGAAATGAACATGTTTTACATTTACATTGTACATGTTTTACAATGTTATTTTAAAATCTGAATAATTTATTTCAAAGAAATAACATATTTCAAAGGAAACATCATGGTGGATGGATGGACAGATAGTTCTGTGTGTAAAATAGGAATTTTGTATCTCTGAATACACTAACTAGAAAATGTACCGGTTCTAGTACTATTCATGAAAGAAATGGGTTCTTCCAGGGATCACGTACTATAAAATTAACTGGCCAATGCTGTGAAACATTTTCCAGAATTACCATTTGCCGTAGGAGATAGCTCCATAAAATCACAATGATACTGGATCTTTTATGACTGCCCCCACATTACCCATGTCACGCCTTGGCTCATTCTGAAATCAATTGTATTACATGCTTGAATCAGGATACTGTAAACTCTGTCTCGTGGAAAAAGATAATCAGGATTCAACAGAATTTAGCCCCATTAGCTAGCCACTAAATATATGACATTACATACAGCGTGGATATTTAAATGCACATGCCTCATTTACAAATGCTGGACCAGATTCTGAGCTCTACTGGTCTAGGTCTCAGATAACACTACCAAAGTTATGCCCGTCAAATCTAAAGTACATGAGAGCTGAATCTGGCCCTAACTTGATTGCTACTCATCCCAGATATACACAGACCACAAGTATGGCCTGGCCTGAACCCCAGCAACAAAAATTGCAGTACTTGTCAAGTCAAAGCTGATTTCATCTGAGCCATTTTGCAGGTCATTTTAGTTTGTCCTCCAAAATAAAAGTTCACTTTCTTCCAGTTAACCTCAGAGAAATTCCCTATCTCTGCAGTCTACTAGACAAGGCTGTAGAAATTCAGAAAAAAAATGCACAACATACACATATCTAGGCTAACTTTTGGCCACAGTCAAGAGCAAAAAAGAATTGCCCAAGGGTCCTTCTTGTGCGTGGTGAAAATTAACTTCTTATATGGACATTTACATTGCACAAACTAAGTTCTGATTGAGAAGGCAAAGAAGGACTGTGTTCTGTACCTGAGGGGCACCACACTGGCTACAAGGCGCAGTCAGTCGCTGAGGAATTGAGTGTTGTGTGGCTGGTCTGTTATAATCCTCCAGGAAAGGGTTAAAGGCACAACTCCAGGAGTCCCTTGAGTACATGTGTGCTATAATTTTAATGCGTTCACAGCCTTGCTGAGAGCAGTAACTATGCCCTTTTCGAGCTTCATGGGCTTGAAGATGAACAAACAGGTATCTAATAAAAGAGAGCAACACAAAAGGGGCAGGGCTACCGTCAGAGGATTATCTGGCCTGAGAAGGGATCTATAGCAGCTACCCTATATTCAACCCATCCTAGTAACATTCTTCGTCAAAAGTTGTTGGATCCCAACACAGGTCCTATTTAGACTCTCCCAATGCAGCATGTAGACCAGGGGTGGGCAAAATGCAGCCCAGGGGCCAGTTGTGGCTCACCAGGCCAGTCTATCTGGCCCCTGGGGCCCCTAAAAAATTTAGAAAATTAATATTAATCTGCCCTGGGCTGCCTGTCATGGAGCCCTCGATGGCTTGCCGAAACTCAGTAAGCGGCCCTCTGCCCAAAATAATTGCCTGCCCCTGACATAGACAAACCCAGTGCCCTGCAGAAAAAAGCGTTTTGCCAGGTTCTGCATGACTGTTTGAGGAAGTGAGGGCACAAAGTGTTCTTCATGGTGATCCCTCCTACGAAAAAGCCTGAAGCAACTTTGTTCTCACATGCAGGGCATGCGGGGTCTACCCATGCCTTCTAGCAGTAGACACGTCCACACTCCTCCACCCACGCTGGCAAATCTGGGCTGCGCCTTTCTAAAGAATGGAGCATCCGCCGCACTCTTTCTATTGTCTTGGAGGCACCGGCTTTGCCTGAGGCCTCCAGCAGTTCCTGCAGGGGCTCTTTGCCTTTGTGCCACCCTAGCACAGCCCCTGCAGCCTAGACACAATTGATCCCTATGAAGGGATCATTGCACAGGATCGTCGGCTGTGAGGCTCGTTTTTGTAGCTGCTCACTTGCAGCCATTCTGCAGTGCAGGCTCAAGGAAATCGCATAAACAGCTCAGCGGCAGTGTCAGGCAAATGTTTGTGCTGAATAAAAAAGATTTTGTTAATGCTCTTTCTTCCAGACAAATGGAAACAAATAAGTGAACTTGACTTGCCTCCAGAGATCAAGCACATGGGGCTGGAAAGAGAAGGGGGAGTATCCCACTCTTTATGAAATGCAGGCTAGGAACAACAACAAACCCAAACCTCTGTGCTCAGTCAGACTAAAAATAGCAAAGCTTAGTCCCATAAAATATAAATAGCCTCAGAGTTCCCAAATCAAGCTAGGTCAGGCCCATCCATCTGCACGATCAAAGTCCTAAGAGATAGCTGACAAATCATGACAGCTCATGGCTCCATCTCTGCAGTCTTGTGAGGAAACACTTCGCCCTGCTCTTCACTAGTAAACAATCTGTCCCCACAATGTGGATTACATTTTGTACATAAAAAAAGAGGACAAATTAGCAAATAATTATTTCACAATTCCTACCATGAGAGAGAGTGCTATCTATGCCCCTTTTTATTTTCAAATCTGACATTTGTAGATTTACTTGAGCTAGCTGCATTGTCAGGTTAGGCATTCTGGGATGTGTGCTTAGGACACAGTGTACAGTTTTTCAAATACCTTAGCAGAACACTGAACTGTATTTCTCAATGGTATTTGTTTTTTTCTTTCATGCAAGGTGTTTAGATCTTTACTGGGGACACACAAATACCGATGTTGCTGTTGTTGTTACTGCTTTCCCCACTGAATTGCATAGCCTTGGGACTGCAGAAAGGCTATGCATTTATCCGTCGTATGCACTTATCCGACTCTGTGCATATTTTGCTCATTAATGACAGCAACAATCAGTCTTAAATTTTTCCTGCTTTATAAGACTTGCTCCCTTGCTTGGGAGAGTCCTGAAACTAATCAGTTCAGGGTTATTGTAGAAGCTCTGTAAAAGCTGAGGGCTTTTAGTCATCCTGTGCTAAAAGGACTTAAAGTTCAGACATGTAGACAAGGTTGTAAAAACTTGTGGTTATTTTTCTGGAATCCCACCCAAACTCCTGAACTCTAAGCCTAGTAGCTCTGTAGTAGCACTAGCTCAGAGCAGCAGAGTACCAACCAGAAATGAGAGAGGTTCGCTGAGTCTTAGTGGGAAGTTGACATGAGCACCGGCAAATGAAGATATTTTCTTCTCCACTCCCTCATTTGGAACCTGCTTCTCTGTTGCTTTTACCTTTTCTGTTCGCTTCTGACCCAGCTGAACTATCCAACTTTCCCCTTTTTCAGGCTACTGATGCAGGGGTGCTCATCACCAACACATCCTTTTGTCTCTGCTTCTGCTCAGCTCTCCCCACTCTCCTGAACACTAGACTGAGAAGGAGCAGGTGTAAAGGGCACAACAGGATACCAGGGAAGGCAGGAGAAGGAGGAGGATCCCCAACATGCAGTATTCTCTCTCGTAGAGAGAAACCTGTAGTGCGGGAATCAGGCATAGAGGAATCACTCACCCTGAGGCACTGTCGAAGTAGAAAAGCCGCTCGCCCGTCCTGTTGAGGGCACTGTGCCAGGAAGGGGCTGCTAGGTAGTGTTTTATACTGTGCACTTGCCCTGTCTGCCGCTGGTAGATGTCTGCCACAACAGTGAAAACCGATTCCTTGGGATAACATAATGCAATGTGCAGCCAGTCTCCCCTGTTGGCAAAAACATGGGGCAAGAGGTGAAAAAGGAGGGGATAAAATATATGCTTTGCACATGTTCAGAGGATGGAAATAAGATAACGTGTCTCTAGCTGAAGGCATAATATTCAAGAGGAAATAAAGTGGTCTACTATCCCCTCCCATCACTATTTCTTCTTTACTCTCCCACCCCCAAGCACCAAGAGATCTCAAAGAAATCTGCAGATCCACTTTGTTCTTCTGGAAACATCTGCTATTTGACACTAGAGGCCCAATCCAAAGACCTCTGGTTTTGGTGGGCTTTGGATCAGGATCCCGAACTGCTTAGAGCCATGAGATTTTCTCCTCTCAACCCATAAAGTCTGGGGAGCAGCCAGTCATGATGCCCATCCTCATCTCCTGGAAGGCCATTACCATTGGCTTTGTTCATCAATCAGTAGCTGCAGAGGGAGGAGCCATTTTCAAGCAGACATTTTGCCACAGGCATTGAGTTAGGAATTATAAAGTCCTTGTACTGAACCAGAGCCACAGTATAAAGAGACCTGATTCCTCCATTTTAGATGGAGTTTATTATGATGGTTTCCCTTAAAATCTCTCTTTCCAATATTAATTTACGATAAATGGAGTTATGGTCAAATGGTCTTTTAGCTCTTGTCTCCTGCAGCTTCAGCAGGGCTAGCAGATGACAGCGAAGCAGGGAGAAAATGCAGTGAACCTTACAGCCTTGCTCTGCTGTGCTCTTTTGCAAGGCTACCAGAGTTGAGAAGAAAACTTGTCAAAACCTACAAGCCTCTGTTACAAGCAGCAATATCAAGCAAGCTGTTACAGTACAGTTCAAAAACTTATTGGAGGCAGCAGCACCTTCTTGGTTTCACAGAATTCACTCAGCCTGGCAAATTCTTTTTAAAACAAAGAAAAATGCTGAATGTCATACAAAAGTTACATTTTAAAGAGTCTAGTTAATCATGTTGATATTCAGAGTTCCTATTTCTCCTCCTCAGCTTCTGAAGCATGCCACGAACAGGTATCTGGACTGGCACGTTAGCTAATTGTTCTTATTGTTCAAAAGAAAAGATAGGACTTTCTGTCTGTTGCTGCCTTAGGATCAAAGTAACATAGGAAACCAAGGCTAGAAGGCACCTCACAAGGTCATCTACTTCAGCCCCTTGCTCAAGGCAGGTTCACTCTTGACTAAACTACCCCAGCCAAGTGCCTATCCAACCTGTTATGGAAAATTTCCAGGGGTGGATAACCCACAACTTCTCTAGGTAGCCCGTGCCCAAGTTTGAACAGCCTCACAGTTCTTCCTAATCTCCAACCTAAATTTCCTCTGCTGCAGCTTGAGTCCATTGCTCCTAGTGCTATCTCCTACAGCCACAGAGAAACATCTCTCTCCACCCCCTCTGTAATCTGTACTTTCATCTAGTCTGTATTTCCTTACTGTATTAATGAGAATATCATGGGGTGGTGATTGAATATTTTAAAAACCACCTGGAATCCTGTTTAGTAGGTGAATATGAGTTGGAGCCAGACATTGCAAGCATCTCCCCCAGGCCCTATAACTCTATAGAAGACAAGGTCTCTGTAAGGGCACAATAGCTCATACCAGTGGTGCTCCATATACCTGGTCCTGTATGCCAGTGAGTGGCTTAGAGCTGGTCCATGGGCTGGATCCTGTGTGCAAGGTCAGTCTTCAGGCCTGATCCAGTGCAGGGTCAGTGCATGGGTACAACCCTTCATGCTGGATCTGGGTGTGGAGCAAATCCAGATGCTGGCCCAGTCCCCCATGCTGGAGCCATTCATGGAGCAACCCCATGCACTGAATCCAGGCACAATTTGACCCTGTGCACCAGCACAATCCAGCACAGAGGGCCGTATCATCCAGCCCAAAGAGTTCGTCAAGGATAAAGAAATTTGGCAGTGGGGACTGGTGGCAGTCCCCTGTGGCTCTGACTTCTACCATGGTGATTTATGCTGCCATCACTCCCCTGCTGCCAAACTGCTGGCCCCGTGGGGAACCCCACATGCCAGATACGGCTCTGTGGGACTGAATCCAGCCTGCAGACTGTATGTTGAGCACCATTTGCTTATCCAGTCTACAGCTACCAGGTAGGTGTGAATATGTAAGGTATATATAGCACAAACAGAGGCAAATGGATTTGATCTGGGGAATTCTAAGAGTCTAAATAAAAACCTAGACTTCTCCACTGCATCAGCTGCTCTTATGGCAAAACCTCGTCAGTCTCTTTCTGGTTTCTCTCTCTGGATCAGTCTAAAACAAAACAGTCTTTCCAAGGTAGAACAGTTGACAAGCTTCTCTAGAATAATAAACCCTAAACCCATGCACAGGCTCAGTAACAAGGAACAAATACTGCCCAAATCTTAAGTAACCTCAGCTGTGTCAGCTTGGCAGAGCTAGAAACCAGAGATACATACAGACAAACTGGCTTCTGACAAGAGGAAATGAAGGAACTGTACTAGGAACCATGCTCATAGAATATTTTTGGGATAACGTCCTCAGATACTCAGCTATTTCATAAGATATTATTTTGCACTGCATTAGCACATTTGGCTCCCTAAAGATACTGCCACACAGACATCCCAACACCACTCTGAAAGGCTGGGAAACAGCTTTAGTGCAATGTTACGTCATTTCACCATCCCCATCCCAGGGGAGATAAAAACATTAAGAAAAAAAAATTATAAAGGGGAAAAAAAAATGTAGAAAAAATTCCCAGCTGAGTCTGTTTTGACTCTTTGGTCATGTGGGAAAATAACTGCTAGAGCCTTTTGCCAGCACAATCAAATTGAGTGTTTGTTCAAAATAAATTACATTGTAGTTGAAATGTTTCAATGAGAAAGGCCTTCTTTAGAGATTTTTGCAGGCAGAGATAAGACATCACAATAATGGGGACAGATAAGGAGACATTAGAAGTTATCATTTAATTAAATATAAGAAAAAGGAGTAAGTCCATTGTTTTGTTAGTTTCATTGTATTTTAACAAGTTCTTATTTAATTCAGATGTTAGGGACTTTGGCTGTTTTTCCATGGTGGGGGCAATGAAAGCCATCTTCCATACATTTAGCTGCTGAATCAAATGCCATAGTCCCTAGGAGATCAAGACAGAAATAATACAGGTATTGAAAGATAACAGGAAGGATCCTGCCTTTCATTTGGGTAGCAGAAGTTTCAAGTCTAATTTACGAGGTCACATGCCCCTTTCAGCCATCACCAGGACTGTGGGGAAATGCAGCCTCGGGCAATGAGGTTTGCATTCAGATGACTGAATGCAAAAGAAAAAAGGGATGCTTTTCCTGCTCACTGTAATGCATTGGCTGAAGGGAACCTTATGGCTGGAACCTCAGCTGCAGGAAACCTTATTCTCTTTAAGATGCATTCAATAAATTATAGTTCCTCAATGTGTCTGAATTCAATAGAATCATAGTTGAGTAGGGCTGGGAGGGATCTCTGGAGGTCACTGACTCCAAACCTTTCCAGCTGGATCCATGAGTCATTTTCTACCCACTACTTCTCTAGCTTAATCTCCACAGCCAGCTCGCATGGACTTTGGAGTGAGGTATGTCTCTCTGAACAAGTGGGGTTACATTCTGCCTCCATGAAAACTTAAGTAATATCAAGTGGAATTTTTGAAAGTGCCTAAGTAATTTAGGAGGACAAGTCTCATTAACAGGCACTAAGATTTGTGCTCCTAAACTGTTATTCTATTCTATTAACCTGACTTGGTTCAAAGAAAACGTTTAAATATACTGTGGCTATTGTGAACCTGGACTCTAACCAGTTCCAAAAATAAACTAAAAATAGTTAGTTGCAGTTCTTCACCTGTCTGAGTTCCCAGCTTATGTTCCCTCGTGCAGAATGAGATACATGAAAATAAAAGGGGAAATTGATTAATGGATTAATTCCAAAAGGGAAGGAATGCAAATGTCAATACATAAAATGCTGTCAATGTGGAATGCAAATGAACACCATTTTTTCCTTTCATTTCTGAAGCAAAAGCATGTGACAACAATGGGGGAGCAGTGTTCACCCACACAATCTGAATTTGAAGTTTCTATCCCTTTACTGGGAAATTAAATAAAATTAAAGTCCATTTAAAAATTAAGTATTGTAGAAACCTTTACTGGAAAAGCAAACAAACAAAAAATGCTTAAAACTGTGTTTACAACTTTTTTGAGGTCATCTTTTCCTTTCTGGTTTTTCCCTGAAATCTGAAGCAGTGAAGCAAAATATCTACTGGTACAAAGTCATGGTTCAGTAAGTCTTACCAAACATTTTCAAATGCTAGCCTGAAATTTTAAAGGCATCGTCAGGCATGAGCATATACCAACCCTGCTGTTTCTGTTCCTGTGTCATTCAACAATCTGCACAGTGTGTTTCAGGAATTTATTTAGCACTGTTTATTTCCTCTTGGAAATGGCTGAGTGAAAAGGACCCAGGACTTTTTGTGGCTGTTTTTTCATTGCAATATTGACATTTGTAGTTCTGGCTTTGCAAAGTATAGTAAAAAGGACCCAGGACTTTTTGTGGCTGTTTTTTTCATTGCAATATTGACATTTGTACTTCTGGCTTTGCAAAGTATAGTAAAAACACCAGGAAAATGGTTAAAAAAATTCTTGGCTATTGCCAACTGCTAGCTTCCTGGGAAAATTTAAAGTGAAAACAGAGACACAGAAAAAGGCAAAGCAAAGCAGGCAAGAGATTTCTTGTTATTCACTGCATGATGCACATAAAAGTAACTATTAAATCCCAAAACAACTGCAGCAAAAACTGTAGCTCCTTCTACAAGTCTGGGTCCTGAAGACCCAGAGGTGACAAAAACGTAAAGTGAAATGAATAAAACACACAAGAGAGGAAAAGGCTTGAAGCATTTCTATAACACACGTAATGTTTTCCATATTCTCTTTTTCTAGATTTTGCATTTTCCCTGCCAATAGATTCCCAGAAAAAATAAGAAACACAGAAATTGTGGGATGGAGATAAACTTGGATCAGAA